TGTCCATGTCAATTTGACAGGGAGACAGGGAGAAGGTGCTATAAAGTGGCAAGTCTCTGGTTCAAGCTTCTCAAATCTCTTTTATATCATTCTAAACTGAATCTCCTAGGGTTTTGGATTACTTTTAGTACAAAACAAGACATTTGAAAATGTCACATTAGGGCTTCTGGCAAGTTCTGATGGCCATTTTTCACTTAAATAGCAATAATTATTACTTGCAGTCCTAGTTGTTGAACTTTCTGCACTAAATATTTTACTCACACCTTTAAAAAGCTAATTCCGAATAAGGAAATATAGAATTATACTACATTAACCTTTAAGAGATGGCTGTAGACTGTCCTGACAAACTAGAACGGGTCTGCATAAGAACCCTCTCCACCAAACACTCCACAGGGTTTCAGCAGTAGATGTGAGGTGTTCTGCAGGCAGAAGGTGAAACTTTAAAGACTGAGGGAAGGTCACACACACACACACTTGCTATTCAAGTCAGATTCTGATTGTCTTGCTTTGCTCGTCAAATTAAATTAGGAGGGCTGTTGATAGCATAAAGTGTGAAGATCAAATCCCAGAATCGGCTGTCAACAAATATACCTGTCAACGTGCCCTTCGGCCAGGATTCAAGGTGCAGGGAGAAAGGCTGGAAAGATTCCAGGAGTGAATATGAGAGCACACATGAACCACAGATACCACCTGTACAAAGGCAGGTAAAAAGTGCATCAGTTTGAGTTTGTCAGGATGCAACACTTACTCTTTGAGGGTCTCAAAGCCTTGTTCTTTGTACAGCAGCTCCTGCTTCATACAGGCCAGGTCTCGCTTCAGCTTGTTCACCTGAGACAGGCATGAGAAAAACACGTTGAAAAACTGTGAAATATTTTAAAGAATAAGTCTGGTGGTATCTTAGATTTTCTCTTGTTGCTAACAAATGCATGAGAAGCCCCTTTACTACCATGTCTGTGATATTCAAGCTTCATATGTCTTTACTGAAGGGTTACATGATTTAGTTTTCAGCACAGAGAGGAGTTAATAGTGCATTTTTTTGAGGACTATTTTCAGCGGTGGATTAATCCACATTTGGTGCACTAGTGAGTGTTTTCTGCAGCAAGGCAGTGTATGTGGGAGTGAGTCAAAATAACACACTACAGTGTGTGTTCATGGTCATGAAGGAACATATCAGTGCAACAGTGTGGCTCTTTGATATGTTTAATAGTGTTTGGACAACAATGGAGCTCAATGGCACAGAGGAATAAGATATATCAGGCTTTGATACACACATAATACTTGATAACAGATACTTTAAGTGTTGGTTTTGGTCTTTTCGTGAGATTTGTTGACAATAAGAACAATATCGAATGTCACCAGACTGAGCTTAAGTTGAAAACTTAAAACACAAATAAGTTGTAATATTAAAACAATATAATACAATACAATTAAAACAGCAGCTTTTTGGGAATTCACACATTTCCCATACAGCAAGAATGAGTTGAATATGAGGTCATGTGGTTTCAGACCAATTCAACTGCTGAACTTGGGGGGGATGTGACTGGTGTTGGGTGTAGGTGACTCTACTACATATTTGATCTACTGCCAGGAGGAGTGAATGTATGGGGTGGTATGTTGTTAGAAACTATTATTACACTATTACACTATTCTCTCTCTCTCTCTCT